TCATTTACTGCTATTGCCTGTTTTTGTATAATGGAGTCAGTTGCGCATGCTGGTGCTGTGAGAAAATCATGAAGATGCCATATGGTGCAAGATACAAGGGAAGGAAGGCCAAGCGCAGAAATTCCTAAGAGATGAACATACCCAAGATTAACCCTGATGCTTCTAGCTCTGCAGTTTTGCACCCACACTACTTCTTCCTTCAGGCCCTGGGGAGGAGGATGGATCACACCAAGATATCCTTGCATTGTCAGGCCCGTTGGGCCATAGAGAATGGATGATTCACCCATTTGCGAGCCACTGCAAGCACTACCCTCACCTCGTTCCACTCTGCGGCATGAGAAGCCAGGGGGCTGGCTGTGAAATGCCAGGCTTCCCCCATATCTAATTAAGGAATTAAAAAATGAAGAGAGGGAGACAGAGGAGCCGATTGGACATGCTGATAATATTTTTAGTGAACACAACAGATCTGCCGGCTTTGATTTTACACTGAAGCTCTATGTACTGCAGGATGAGTCAGCCTTGCAGAGGAGAGGAAGAAAGCAGGGAGGGAGGGAGACAAAAGGAGGCAAAGGGAAGCAGCGGCCAGGGCTAATATTATCCAGGAGCTTTGTCAAACCACTTGATGTCAGATGCGGGTGCAAGAGATAGGAATATCTGCATCTCAGCCTCTCCTCCCAATCAAGAAAAAAGGAAATTCAAACCATGGCCAGCTATTGCTGTGAATAGCCTCTTTGCAAAGGAGTGTGTATTAGATATTTAACCAGCTAATGGTTCTACTGCAGTTTTGTTAGAGTGGCAAGAGCCTTCCTATTTTCACATGTGAAATGTGGGCCTGGTTTTGTCTTCTAAAATGTTCTCCCTGAATGAGAACTGGAATATTTGGAACAAGGATATGAGTGTATTCAGATAAGACCACATTCAGTCTTTGGCATCTCCAATCATTTCAATCAGAGCAACAACAACAACAACAACACTATATTAGATCAGGAAAGGGCTGTATGTGGTCTACCAAGTCAAGCTTTTGGCTTCCCAAAACCGCCATAATCTCTCAGGTTCCTTTTATGATGCCCTATAATCCAGACTATCAAATCAATCCACAAATAAATCTGCTTTGAACTAGATTATATAAGTCTACACTGGGATTCATAGAATCATGGAGTTGGAAGAGACCTCATGGGCCATTCAGTCCAAGAAGCCTGCCAAGAAGCAGGAAAATTGCATTCAAAGCACCTCCGACAGATGGCCATCCAGCCTCTGTTTAAAAGCTTCCAAAGAAGGAGCCTCCACCACACTCCGGGGCAGAGAGTTCCACTGCTGAACTGCTCTCACAGTGAAGACGTTTTCCTAATGTTCAGATGGAATCTCCTTTCTTGTAGTTCGAAGCCATTGTTCTGCGTCCTAGTCTCCAGGGAAGCAGAAAACAAGCTTGCTCCCTTCTCCCTATGATTTCATCTCACATATTTATACATGGCTATCATGTCTCCTCTCAGCCTTCTCTTCTTCAGGCTAAACATGCCCAGCTCTTTAAGCCACAGTAGTGCAATGGGTTAAACCTTTGTGCTGGCTGAACCACTGACCTGAAGGTCAGTGGTTCTAATTTGTGAGATCAGGTGAGCTCCTGTCTGTCAGCCCCAGCTTCCCATGAGGGTACATGAGAAAAGCCTCCCACAGGATAACACATCCGAGCATCCCCCGGGCAACGTCCCTGCACACAGCCAATTCTCCTACACCAGAAGCAACTTGCAGTTATCTCAAGTTGCTTCTGACACAATTAAAAAAAAGTCTACACTACCATGTAATGGAGTTCAAAGCAGATCATGTGGATGTTATATGGCAGTGTAGATGCTATACAAGTGTCCTGATTCAAGAACAGTCACACATACCTCTTCCTTCCTGATTTCACATCTGCCTTTAAAATGTCCCACTTTGGAAGGCCTTCCTCCTCTTCCTCATTTTTCCTTGGCTTGTCTAAACTGCACTCATACGCTTATTGGACTCAGCCTTGGAAGGTCACACTTGTCTGATGTATCTGCTTCCACAATAATAGCAATAATCATAATTACCAAACACCTTCTAGGAGACGTGGGAGGCATTCTCATAAACATTTTGGGTCATTTTAGTCCTGAAGAGAGGCCTTTTACAACACAGAGGTATGCAGAAATCATTTTTTGTTTCCTATTTATTTGTGTGGGAGAAAAGCAAGTCTCCTCCTGGGCCTTGAATGGGAGGCTGCAAAACATTGTGGCAATGCACCCCATCTCCCCCTCGTGGACATTTTGGAGCATCTCGGGGGGGGGGGGGGGGGGACGGGACAATTTTTAAAAATTCATTTTGGCTCCCACGGGGATCAAAGAGGAAGCCTCCCAACGTGGTAAAAAAAACTCTCCACATCCCATAGAGTGCACTAGGAGGCATGCTGGAGCAATTATTTTGCATATGTGTGTATATAAAATTTTGCATATATATAATTATTGTGCATATGTATATATAATATTTAGTATTTTAAATTATTGTTCATTATTGTACATATATATTGTATATTATTTATTATGCTTAATTATTGTGCATATTAAATATATAATTATTGTGCCTATATATTATTTTACTTTTGATTATTTTGCACATATATAATTATTAAGCATAAATATTATTTATTCTTTTAATAACAGAATATATATATATTATTAAACTGTATATAGATAGATTAAAATATAAAATTATATATATATATATATATATATTCAGGGAAATTATATATATGCAAAATAAATAAAAATAATAAATAATATATAACTACCCCCCCCCCCCCCCCGGGGTGGTGCAGTGGTTTAAACCACTGAGATGCTGAACTTGCTGACTGGAAGGTTGGCGGTTTGAATCCATGGAACGGGGTGAGCCCCCACTGTTGACCCCAGCTTCTCCCAACCTAGCAATTTGAAAACATGCAAATACGAGTAGATCAATAGGTACTGCTTCTGCAGGAAGGTAATGGCGCTTCATGCAGTCATGCCGACCACATGACCTTGGAGGCATCTATGGACAATGGCTTAGAAATAAAATGAACATCACCTCCCAGAGTAAATTTCAACTACAGTTAATGTCAGGGGAAACCTTTACCTTAAATGTACATATATATTGTATATTATTTATTTTATTTTTAATTATTGTGCATATTATATATATAATTATTGTACATAAATAGAAATGTGGGCCATCTATATCAATTTATTTGTTTGTTTGTTTGTTTACTATATTTGTATACCGCCATTCTCAGCCCGCAGGCGACTCAAGGCGGTTTACAGAGGCAACAATACAATGCCCTACAACAACATAAAACCATTTAAAACACTTAAAAACAACATATAATATAAAACCATAGGAAGATCAATAAGATACCATAAAAAACATTTAAAATATTTTAAAACATTAACATATAATATAAAACCATAACAAGACCAGTAAGACATAAATCGTTTGCGTCTCCTAGTTAAAATGTCCAATCTCATCATCCAGTTGTTCCATATTCCTACGTCTGTTACATTGCATTTTCAAATGCTTATTTATTAATTATTTATTTACAGTATTTATATTCCGCCCTTCTCACCCCGCAGGGGACTCAGGGCGTTATACACATATATGGCAAACATTCAATGCCAAAAACACACAACAGATACAGACAGACGTCAGAGGCTATTTAACTTTATGGGAGCTGTTGGTTTCATCGTCCACCTGCAACATTGATGAAATACTTCCGCATTCCCCGCCTGCTTTGCTAGAATCTTTTTTTATGGCCTCGTAAATTAGTTAAAATAGCCTCCTCACACATAGGTGGTACCTAATTTTCTTACTTGACAGATGCAACTGTCTTTCGGGTTGCAAAGGTCGACAACAAGCTACACAATTGGTCGGAAGCTCACTCCAACCCGAGCTGGCTTCGAACTCATGACCTTTTTGGTCAGAAGTGATCTTAATGCAGCTGACACTCGGACAGCTGCGCCACAGTCCCGCTTGCTCAAAAAGCCAATTCTTGACTTTTTTCTGGAATGTTAAAAGGGAGGGGGCTGATCTAATGTCCCTAGGAAGGGCTTTCCATTGCCGAGGGGCCACCACTGAGAAGGCCCTGTCTCTCGTCCCCGCCAAACGTATTTGTAATGGGATCGAGAGCAGGGCCTCCCCAGACGATCTTAACATCCTAGATGGTTCATAAGGGGAGATGCGTTCGGACTGGTGAGTTGGGCCAGAACCATTTAGGGCTTTATAGGCTAAAGCCAGCACTATCTATGCGTATATATATAATGAAAGTCAAAGTTTATATGCATATATCTATTTCGTTTATATGTATTTTCCCAAGTGGCCCCCTCTTCCAGAGAGCACTGTAAGTCCTACAACTAACGGATCTGGACCAAACTTGGTGCACAAACACAACATGATCAACTTTGAATACTGGCGGGGTTTGGAAGGAAATGACAGCAGATAATGGGACTTCCGACCCACCCACCCATATCCTGATGCATTTTATAATGGGACCATTCATAACATCCAGAAACACACAATAACTTTTTCAAATGTTTAATAGCCATGAGTTATCTGAGTCCACACTGCCATGTAACCCAGTTCAAAGCAGATAATGTGGGATTTTATACAGCTGTGTGGAAAGGGCCCCTGATAAGGCAGAAGAGGAAATATAGTAGAAAGGAGGCAATGTAAGAAGACCTGGCGAATCTAAACGGATTCAAGACCCCAAGGGCCACAGGAATGAGTCACATCCGAGGGGATTAAAAAGAACAGGCAGAAGGTAATGCCACAACCCAATGACCTCTCGGATGAATTCCAAGCAAAGAGGAAGGCCCATCTTCAAGGAGCCCTGTCCCTTTAAGGGGCGCGCGTCGCTGCGACCTCACCAACATGGAGGCGGGATCCATAGCAACCGCATTTTTTTTCTTCCCCTTCTCATCATGGCGGCTGTACGGCGCCGGTCACCTGACTCGTAGGGAACGCCCACCCGCCAAGGTCACGTGACCGGGATTCTCTCTGGCGGAGAAGGAGGAAGGTGAAGTTGGGCGCTTGCTTAAAAGGATTCGGTGGGAGCCGGGTAAGTGCTTCTATCTCTCCTCACAAGTGGGAGTTCTTAGCCAATGAGAAACGCCTATGCAAATCCGGACTGTATTTATGCAAATATCGAACGGGGGGGCATTCTCTTCGCCTTGACAGGCAGGATCCTTGGATCTGTATAGGCGCTCCCAGGGCACCTCTGCACTGCAGAATTTAATGCAGTTCGATACCGCTTTAGTGCCCAATGGCTCGTTGCTATGGAGTAATGAATCAACCCAATTGTTAGGTTTCCCTGGTAACTCCCAGGATTCTATGATATGCAACCATAAGAGTTGAAAGTGTTGTCATCCTGCATTAAATCCGACAGTGTAGACCAGGCATGAGAAAACCTTATTAAAGAGTGTTTTGAATACCTTTCCAGGGGCATCCTCTTCATGCTTGGAAGATGCCTTCGGACAAATCCACCCAGGATCCTCCAGTCTTCCAGTTTACAAACTGCTGGATTCTGAAGAATCACGAACTGCAAAGGTGAGCGTTTGCATTGGGTGACGTTGCTTTCCTCCCACGTTTCTCTGGGTGTGTGGTTGTGACATACTAATTTTGTTGGAAATTTACAAAACGTTGCCACGGGGGAACTCTAAACATAAACTTTTCCGCGTGCTTCTAGATGGGAAAGAGCAGGTTGGCTTTCCATTCAATTTACTGCCATTGGCGTGTTTTGTGTTGACGTGTGTGCCAAGAGAAAATGAAGGGGAATGGATTCATAACAAAGGGACAAGGATTTGAGGGACTATATTGCTTTTACAGCCCCACCTGGCACCAATTTTATAAGCAGAATGGAAAAGCTAACACTATATGAGGATTTAAAGATCAAACTGCAAAGACTCTGGCACAAACCAGTAGAGGTGGTTCCAGTGGTGATCAGCACACTGGGTGCAGTGCCTAAAGACCTTGACCTGCACTTAAACACAATCGGCGCTGACAAGATTACCATCTCCCAGCTGCAGAAGGCCACCTTACTGGGATCTGCACGTATTATTCGCCGATACATCAGACAGTCCTAGACACTTGGAAACTGTCCGACGTGTGATCCAATACAACAGCCAGCACAGTGATCTTGTTTGCTGTGTACTAATCTTGTTATGTTAATACCATAATAATCATAATAATCATAATCATAATCATAATAATCCAATTCAACAGCCAGCAGAGAGTCTGCTGTGGACTCATCTTGTGTTTCTAATAATAATAATAATAATAATAATAATAATACTGCATTATTCGCCAATACATCACACCGTTCTAGACACTTGGAAAGTGTCTGACGTGTGATCCAATACAACAGCCAACCTAGTGATCTTGTTTGCTGTGTACTAATCTTGTTGTGTTTCAAATAACAATAATCATAATAATAATAATAATAATAATAATAATAATAATAATGGGATTAACTGTGGAACACTGCTTTTAATTTAGTTAGTTTTTCTGCAAAGTGTGACATTGAGCAAATAGTGGAAATAATTCAGTTGAACACGAGAGAAACAGACTCTGGACTCTTGCAGTAACAGGAAATATTGATAACAGATTAAGGGACTGAGAGATGTTTTAAAAACAAAATATCTTGACTGCTTTTCATTACGTTTGTAAATATTAATAGAGTTAATAGACCATGTAATACAGTTAATATACAATTGCATCTTGACATGGATCCCTACGAAAAGGACTTTCCATGATTAATCACTTGGGTAACTCAGTTCTACTCTTTGTCCTTGCTGCTCTCAGCTGTCATCTTTGTCTTCTCATATATATCTATACTATATATATAGATAGATAGATAGATATAGATATAGATATAGATATAGATATTGGGAAGTCAGACCTGGCCATGGTGGTCCACACTCTTGTTACATCTAGGATAGACTACAGCAACACACTCTACGTGGGACTGCCTTTGAAGACCGTTCAGAAGCTTCTAATAGTCTAACAAGAGGCAGCCAGGTTAATAACTGGGGCAGCATACAGGGAGCATACAACTCCCATATTGTATCAGCTCCATTGGTTGCCAGTTTGCTACCGAGCACAATTCAAAGTGCTGGCTTTGGCCTATAAGGCCCTAAACGGCCCTGGCCCAGTTTACCTGTCTGAATTCATCTCCTTCTATGAACCACCGCAGAGATTAAGATCTTCCGGTGAGGCCCTGCTCTTGGTCCCGCCACAGTAAAAGGCGCGATTAGCAGAGACAAGGGCGAGGACCTTCTCAGTGATTGCCCCATTGCTATGAAACTTCCTCCCTGGCGAGATTAGATCAGCCCCCTCCCTCCTGTCCTTCAGAAAGATGGTAAAAACTCAGCTGTGGGACCAAGCCTTTGGGTCAGTGCAATAAGGCACTTTTTAAAAATGGAGATAATTGATTTTAGTGTTTATGTATATTTATAGTTTATTTTAGTTTATCTTATGTTCCGGCATTGAATGTTTTCCATATATATGTTGTGCTCCGCCTTGAGTCCCCTTTCGGGCTGAGAAGAGCGGAATATAGATGTTTTAAATAAATAAATACACATAATAGAGAAAATATTTATGTGTGTATGTGGCCCACTTCAACAGACAGGCTCCCCTTCCACAAACAGCATCAACCCACACTGCTGAGGAGCCACCAAAATCCCTCCCTTCAATGACATTTCACATTATATTGAGCACCATGAACATGTAGCCCAACCCTTCCAATGTCCTCCCCAAACACCATATTGCCCGCCACCCAAGGAATGCTTTCATTTGGGGACAATTTCATTCTAGATTTTGCATGTTTACTCCACCACAGACATCCCAGTGTTTCTTACTCTCTCCATTGGTGTGGAATTTACATGATCCTGCCCACTTCTTCTCCCTTAACACTTTCCTACTCTTTTCAACTCTGTCTGCAGAACAAACAAAGCAGAACTAATTAGCAGCTAAATATACTGGAGGAGTTTGGGAGATTGACTCCACATGATGGAAGTTGTAGTTCAACCTGCATCAAGTCAGAGAACTGTGACCCCCACTAACGATGGACCTGGACCACCTTTGTCACACAGAACCCCCATGACCCATTCTGCAATGATTTTTTAAATTTTTTACATAGGATGGTACATAACACGGGGCAAACCCAGCCTTCCTTGGTGACTTGAGGGGTGTGCTACAGATCCCAGGCCACATGGTACGCTGCCTTGTGCGAATGGGGATTGTAGTCAAACACATTGGGAGAACTGTGCCTTTTGACTTTGCGGTATATGAATGGAAGAGAGGCCATGTAATGCAAGACCTACCTTTTTTCCAGGGAGGACCTTTGGGTGAGAGATGGGAAGATCCTGAACCCGGAGAAGCTCTTCTTTGACGAGAAGAAGCCTGCGGACATTCAACTGGACTGCAAAGGCAGTATCATTGCACCTGGGTTCATTGACGTGCAAATCAATGGTAAGGCCTGGGCATTCTTCCTGAAGATCAACATCCACTAAGCTGGAGAAGGGCTGTATGCCTTCCCCTATAGATTTTGTTTACTATGTAATACGATTTTTTCCTGGGTTGTAAATGTCATTTCCTAATTGGTTCAATCATAAAAACATGGGGAAAGTGTATTAAACTGCCAAAACTTTGTTTTTGAGGGACATAATTAGACCTCATAATTAGCTGAAGTTGCGATACAGCAACATCTGGAAGACTCCAGTTTATTCTATTTAGTCAAGATAATGGGATTTGGATAGAGATACAAAAGTTTGTGGATAGGATGTCTGATGTTAAAATGTCCTGTAATCATTCCCCAAACCTCAGAGCCGCAAGTACTGCTGGGTTGCCATTCTCATCATTCCCAGTTTGCATGGCGGATAACCAAAAGGGATTTATTTATTTATTTATCGTGGCAGTATCAACCAGGCAATTGTATTACATTTTTAACAAATTTTTAACAAACAGACAAAACAGAGTTTGCAAGCTTGGTAGTTGATTAAATGTCCTTTGACCCGTAGCTGGCCACTTGGAGTGCCTCTGGTGTTGCTGCAAGGAGGTCCTCCATTGTGCATGTGGAAGGGCTCAGGTTGCATTGCAGCAGGTGGTCTGTGGTTTGCTCTTCTCCGCACTCGCATGTTGTGGATTCCACTTTGTGGCCCCATTTCTTGAGGTTGGCTCTGCATCTCGTGGTGCCAGAGCACAGTCTGCTCAGCGCCTTCCAAGTCGCCCAGTTTTCTGTGTGCCCAGGGATGGGAGTTGTCATTCAATAACATCTATAAACTCAAGTCCACTGACTACTATATGAAAAACTGAGAGTTGACCCTTTGTATCCATTAATTCTCTGTCCATGGAGTCAATGGTCTTTGAAGGCAGCTATGTATCAGCTGATGTGGCCCTTGAAGGACACGAGTCTGAGTTATCAAAGATTCTGCTTCTTCTTTGTCTTCTCTGACCTTTCATTGCCTAGGAGGTTTTGGAGTGGATTTTTCCCAGGCCACAGATGACGTCGCATCAGGAATCTCTCTGGTTGCCCAGAAAATATTGTCCCATGGAGTCACTTCTTTCTGCCCAACGCTGGTGACCTCTCCGCCATCTGTATATAGTAAGGTAAGGAACCAGTTGGAACATCTGTCCCTTGGAAGGAAGAGAAATCCACTCCTGGAAGAGTTATTATGAGGGGGAAAAGAGATTTCCACTGAAGCTTTCTTTCCAATCCTTGTTTCCACAACAATCCACATTTTTCGAAATTCAATGATCCCAGGGTCAGAAAGTGGGGTGAAATCTTACAAACAGGGGCACAGACAGCAAAACAAACACTACAGGTGTGTCAACCCTTCCCTATGCAATCCAAAGCACAAATTCATATGTGTATGTATGTGTGTGTGTGTATATATATATATATATATGTATGTATTTGTATGTATATATGTATGTATGGCTGGAGTTACACTTAAGAAATGGACCTGTTCCCACTTGCATACAAAGTGAACGTAAGAACAAACCTATTAACACTATCTTCTTCATAACTTGGGGACAGCCTGTACCCACAAACCTCTGATTTGCAATAGATTGGCAAGCTTGCTTGACATTCAGATGGTTAACAATGACAGCAACAAATTGGTTCCTTCTGCCCTCAGTTTGACTACTAATGTGAAGAAGCTTGACCTTTTGTTTTGTTTTCTGTACGATCTGTACGATTTTAATAATTTCTTTACACGTTCATTAGAGATCATTACAAAGCATTTTGGACCCCCCCTCCCCCAAATTGGAAATTTTCATTTCATCCTTGAGACACACAAAAAGACCCTGGGGAGTCCATGGTATATTGTCCAACTGTGTCTCACAGGACAGATTAATTATGAACTTCCTGACAATGTCTCTCCTCCCAGGTTCTGCCTCAGATTTCTGTAAGAAACGGAGGGCCCCATGGAGCTGGCGTCCTGGGTAAGAGACCTGGTTTTGTGTCCGATCCGTCACTTTTTCCCCTTAGAGATGCTTTTTTTGGAGTCGGAGATGCAGAACCTTTTACCTCTCTAAATGATTTGACCACAAATCCCATAATCCCTTAACACTGAACCTGCTGGCTGGGGATCATGGTGTTGTAGTCCGAAACATCTTCTGGAGGTAGGAAAAATGAAGAAGCCTTAGACCTGCTTTCATGTCTCCTATATTTCACAGCTGCCTGTTTTAACCCTCTGTTTTAACTTTGTTGTACCTTGCATTTAGCAGGAAGGAGAAGCAGATAGTAAATGTGTCATTATTATTATTATTATTATTATTAATAATAATAATAATAATAGCATTACTATTGTTATTATTGCCTCTGTCAGCTGCAAAAGGCTAGCCTACTCAGATCTGCACGCATTATTTGCCAATAGATCACACAATCGTAGACATTCGGGAAGTGTCCAATGTGTGATTGAATACAAAAGCCAGCATAGTGATCTTGTTTGCTGTAAACTGAATTTGTTGTGTATATTATAATATAATAATAATAATTTTAAAAAACATCAGGAGAGAATGCTTCTGGAACATAATATAATATATTTTATTTATATTCCACTCTATCTCTCCCAGGAGACTCAGAGTGGATTACAGAACATATGTGAACTGAACTTGTGTATCAATAACAACAACAACAACAACAACAACTTTATTTATAGACCGCCCTCTCTCCCCAAGGGGACTCAGAGTGGTTTACATACTAAAAGGCAAGCATTGAATGCCAAAGCCATCAAAAACAACAAATCTAAACAATACCGAATAACATCAGTAGTCTGAAATAAAAAAGAAAAATACTAAATAAAACATAATTACACATCGAGACACATGTACCCCAAAGAGTTAAAATGATTGAAATACATTAAAAAGTGCCTAACATGTCAGTACCAATTTAAAATGTATCGTAGCAGTCCATAAAATGCAGGTAGATTTACCAGCATTCCAGTGAAATTAGCTTAAGATGTGCTAGTCCTCCTCGTCTCCATATGCTACAGTGCATTTTCAAAAGGTTTTTAAAGGAGAGGAGGGTGGGGGGCATCCTTATTCCTTTGGGAATGGAGTTCCAGAAGCAGGGAGCAATCACGTATTGGATGGGTCCCTTGTATTTGGTAAGAGATAGGGACAGCCTCCTTCCATATTGTCACCAACAGTATGCCAGCCCTGGAGTGCCATGTTTCATGCATAACATGTCTATTTCTCTTCTCTTCCTTGGATTAGGGGTTCACCTGGAAGGTCCGTTCATCAGTAAAGAGAAGAGGGGAGCTCACCCGGAGCATTATCTCAGAACCTTTGAAACCGGAGCTTTTCAGGATGTACTGGCCACTTACAGTTGCCTGGACGGAGTGAAGATTGTCACCTTGGCACCTGAGATGAAGAGAAGCGGCGAGGTAATCCGGGAGCTGACCAAGCGGGGCATCTGTGTTTCGGTAGGTAAGTGTTGCTCTTGGACTTTAGAACAAGGGGAAGTTGGGACTCAGAGGGACCGATCTCATTGGCCAATGGATTTTATGTTTGCCTCCCCTGATCAGAATATATGCTTAGTTTAATAATAATAACAATAATAACAATAACAACAACAATCTGGAAGTAGGTCTACAGTTATATCAGGCATGAGCAAACTTCGGCCCTCCAGGTGTTTTGGACTTCAACTCCCACAATTCCTAACAGCCTACCAGCTGTTAGAAATTGTAGGAGTTAAAGTCCAAAACACCTGAAGGGCAAAAGTTGTCCCATGCCTCAGTTATATGCTTTAGAATTTGGTTATATATATTACACTAACACATTTTTGTTCCTGGGTTATACATTTCATTTCCTAATTGGTTCATTAAAAAACATCGGAAAAGTTTATTAAACTGCCAAAACTTTGTTTTTGCGGTCTGCACAAAAGTTAAAAATGGCATATTTTCATTGAGGGGAAAATTACAAAGAGCCTAGAGTGAATGACATAATAGTATTTATTTATTTATATTTATTTATTACTGTGCTTATATACCACCGTTTCTCAGCCTAAATCGGCGATTCAACGCGGTTTACAACACAACGACAAGCAGCAATATTCCATTAAAAAGCATAAAAACACATACACAACTCTCAGTCACGAAAACAAAGTTTCTGCAGTATAAGAACACTTTCAAACCAGGGACAGATTTTTTTCCCCAAATTTTGTTACATAGCGTTATAGTTCTAATTGGTAGAAAGTCTCTTCTTCATTTGGGGGAATGTGTTGGAATGTTGGCTGGGTTTTCAAAGATTTCTGTTGTATCATTTAGTTCTCCAGGGTGTCTTAGAAACCTGTGAATCATAGAAATGCATAGATAAGAGTGACATTTACAGTAGATATCATTAGATTAATGGGGGGGGGGGGGGGGATCGAGTGTCTTGAATATTATATGTCTACTGTATTATATATGTATTGCTTTATTTTATGAAAAGGAAAAAGGGAAAAAATACCTGTTGGAACAAAGATTATTTCGGGGGAAAAAACAATCTTTATGTTTCCACATGGAGAGCTTCTATCTTAAAACGTGTCCAAAGAGCACTCTTTGGCTGCCTACTGTTTACACTGAAAGGCCATTGTGTTGCTGTGAGTTTTCCAAGTTTTCCAGAAGCATTCTCTCCAGACATTTTGCCTCCATCTATGGCAGGTTGTGAGGTCTGTTGGAAACTAGGCAAGTGAGGTTTATATATCTGTGGAATAATGTCCAGGGTGGGAAAAAGAACTCTTGTCCATTGGATGGCTATTGGCCACCTTGATTTGCATTATCTGGCCTTGCAGCTTCAAAGCCTGGCTGATTTCTGTCTGGAGGAATTCTTTGTTGGGAGGTGTTAACTGGCCTTGATTGTTTCCTGTCTGGAATTCCTGTTATTTTAGTGTTGCTCTTTATTTACTGTCCTGATTTTAGAGGGTTTCCTCCTTTCTGTTGAAATTTTCCCGATGCTTGTAGATTTCAATGGCTTCTCTATGTAGTCTGACATGGTGGTTGTTAGAGTGGTCCACCATTTCTGTGTTCTCAAATAATATGCTGTGTCCGGGTTGGTTCATCAGATGCTCCATTATGGCTGACTTCTCTGGTTGAATTAGTCTGCAGTGCCTTTTGTGTTCCTTGATTCACGTTTGGGCAATGCTGCGTTTGTTGATCCCTATGTAGATTTGTCCACAGCTGCCTGCTTTACAGTAGACTCCTGCAGAAGTGAGGGGATCCATCTTGTCCTTTGCTGAACATAGCATTTGTTGGATTTTCTTAGTGGGTATGTAGATAATTGGTAGGTTGTGTTTCTTCATCAGCTTCCCTATGCGGTCAGTGGTTCCATTGATGTATGGTAAGAACGCTTTTCCTCTGGGTGGTTCTTTGCCTTTACTCTTGTGGCTTGTTCTTGGCCTTGCATCTCTTCTGATGTCTGTGGAAGAGTATCCATTGGCCTGTAGCCAGGTTTTGAAGCAGCAAAGCCATTCAATGCTAATCCAGGTGGTCAATGGCAACCTTCACACTTGTCTCAAACAGACAAGAGTTCTGTCTCCCACCCTGGACATAATTCCACAGAATATAAACCTCACTTGCCTAGTTTCCAACAGACCTCACAACCTCTGAGGATGCCTGCCATAGATGTGGGCAAAATGTCAAGAGAGAATACTTCTAGAACATGGCCATACAGTCCAGAAAACTCACAGCAACCTAGTGATTCTGGCCATGAAAGCCTCTGACAACACAAAGGCCATTGTATTGTAGATACAAGATGTGAATGGGGGTAGGATCAGGAAGGAAGAGAGATTTAAGCAACTTCCTTCCTTAAAAATTATAACTAGCTGGAAGGAGCGATGATTGTCAAGCTCAGAGAGACATTAAGCTGCATTTATTCTTAGCCTTCTCTCTTTCCAGGTCACTCTATAGCTAACCTGTCTCAAGCCGAGGAAGCAGTTCACCACGGGGCTACTTTCATTACTCACCTCTTCAATGCCATGTTACCTGTGAGTAATACATAAGCACAAACACAACATGAGAATCTCTGTATATTTTTGAATTTCTTTACTGCAGGTTCCTGTCCCCTTGTTTTGCCCATTTTCTTCATTAATAATTCAGTTTGTACTAGGCCAGCTTTCTCCCATCCTTTGCCCTCCAGAGACACATTGGGTTACCTAGAGAGGTGAGGTCATTGGAGTCACTAGTCAGAGACTTGGCATTGCAGTCCAACACACCTGGAGAGGACAACCTTTTCATGCCCATATTTGGAGCTTGGAATTCTTGCCCTTTAGGATTAGAAACCTCCAGTTTCATGAACTTTGAGAGCTGTAGTCCAAAAAAGTAACATTTCCAAATTCTGTCCATATTAATTATATTGTGGACCTTCAACTTAAGAGCATCCCAACTTACGAGCATTTTGAGTTAAAAGCCATTGCTTGGCTCAGGTTTTGCTTTGACCTAAAACAGCATTTTGAGTTAAGAGGGAGTGCCAGAGGGAGTGCTAGCACCAGAGTCCAGGACTTGAGGGCCTCAAGGGAACAGCCTCTGGGCCTCGTGCTCTTATCTGCTTTGGGAGAGAGATTGCAGTCCATCTTGCTCTTGTCTGCTTTGAGGAACTTTGTGTTAGTTGACTCAGTGGTTTTTATTCCTGGTCTGTTTGGCTTCATGAAGAGAGTGAGGGAGGGAGAGAGCAAGAGAGGGAGGGAAAGAGGCTAGAAGGAGGACAGGAAGAAGAAAAGGCGACTTTTGCCTTTTCACTTGGTGCCGCTTTGTGCTTCCTTGCCACAACTTTGTGGTTCTACCATTTTCAAGGTGATCTCTCTTTTTTACTGTTCCATGAGAATGTGCATGTATACATTATTTGTGATTTATAAAGTACATTTTCTTATTTTAAAACACATAACAAAATAATGGGGAGGGGGGCAGGCCAGAAAGGATTAATAGCATTTCAATGGGCAATTTCACTTTGAGATAAAAGCAATTTGAGTCAAGAGCTCAATTACTAAACAAATTAAACTCTTAACCAAGGTATCACAGTATTGGTTGTTTTTGTGGTCTGTGCAGTTCCACCACCGAGACCCTGGGATCGTGGGGCTGCTCACCAGTGACCAGATCCCTCCAGGTCGGCAAGTCTTCTATGGGATGATATCAGACGGGATCCACACAAACCCTGCAGCTCTGCGGATTGCCCACCGTGCAGATCCTAAAGGTTTGTTGGCCCTAGATGGGAAGAACAGAGGTCTGTGCCCCAATAACTCGATTGTATGACCGGACTCCAATGTAACCGGAAGCCATTGTATCCCTATAGGGCTGGTCCTGGTGACAGATGCCATCATGGCGATGGGCCTTCCACCAGGCAGGCACACTCTGGGCCAACAGGTAGTCGAAGTGGATGGGCTGAATACCTATATTGCAGGTGAGTGCCCTGAAACTCTGGTCTTGAGGAAGAAAACCGGGTAGTTGAAGCATGTGGACTGCCATTTCTGTTCCATTTCTATCTCATCCTAAGTTTTTATCATTTTATCTTGTTCACTCGGCCATTGTGATTTTATTTTTGCATTTTTTTATTGTATTCTTATATTTTATTTATTTTATTGCAATGTTTGTTCTGTGTTCTTGATTTTATTTTGTTGTAATGCACAACTGGGCTTGGCCTCATGTAAGCCGCCCCAAGTCCCCTTTGGGGAGATGGTGGCGGGATATAAATAAAGATTATTATTAATAATATTAATAATAATAATAATATTTAGCTGCACTACGTTGTTGAAATCAATTGAACACTTTCATTGCACTTTACTTTTATTGAAATGTTCAAAAATGTTTGAGACATGCCAATGCATCAGTAAATATTTACATTTGACAATACAGTTCCATGCATTGTGTGTTTCCACTTTTCAATGTCTTTCAGTTTCATGATAGCACCAACCAACACACATTTTGGTGCCTCAAATGCTAGCCCTGTTCTGGATATATTTGACCTGCTGATTCCAAAAAAATGGTACCAGTTTTCCCTAGTTTTTGAAATACAGGGACGCCTTGCTTGACATTAGTGCATGTTGGAGTCCTCGTGAGCCAACAATGTGATGAGGTAGCTAAAAAAGCTAACGGGATTTTGGCCTTCATCAATAAGAGTCTAGTGTCTAGATCCAGGGAAGTCATGCTACCCTTCTATTCTGCCTTGGTCATACCACACCTGGAATCACACTGTGTCCAATTCTGGGCACCATAATTGAAGGGAGATGTTGACAAGCTGGAATGTGTTCAAAAGAGGGTGACTCAAAGGATCAAGGATCTGGAGAACAAGCCCTATGAGGACCAACTTAAAAGAGCTGGGCATGTTTAGCTTGCAGAAGAGAAGGCTGAGAGGAGACATGATGAGGACCATGTATCAAGATGTGAGGGGAAGTTATAGGGAGAAGAGATTAAGTTTGTTTTCTGCTGCCCTGGAGACTAGGACGTGGAAACAATGGCTTCAAACTACAGGATCTAGTTAAGGAAGAAAGGAGGAATAGGAAAAAGGTAGAGAAAGAGTATGAGAGGAGAGGAGGAAGACAGGAAGATGGGAAGGGAGGAAGAGGAAAGAAGAAAAGAATTCAGACCTCTGGAAGACACCAGGAAGTCAAAACAATTTTAAACCCTATCTTTGCCTCTTTATCTTTATCTCTATTTTATCTTTTTCTATCTTTTTTTCTCTTTGGTTTATTTTTGTTTTGCTCTTTTTCTCTCTTTATTTCCTATACATCTCTATTTTAACTGTAATCCAAAATTCAATAAAGATTATTAAAAAAAACTACTGGAAAGGAGATTCCACTTGAACACAAAGAAGAACTTTCTGACTGTGAGAGCTGTTCAGCAGTGAAACTCTCTGCTCCAGGGCCTTTCCTCACAATCCTATATCCCGAACCAGTTTTTAATAATGCCTTGATGTATAGTTATTGTCGTCGTTTTGCTTAATTGTTTTGATTTGCTTTGTTTATTGCTGTGTTATGTTTTCTATTGTATTGTGTTTTGAGGCTTCGGCCTGTGTAAGCCGCATCGAGTCCTTCGGGAGATGCTAGCGGGGTACAAATAAAGATAATAATAATAATAATAATAATAATAATAATAATAAATCCAACAATATCTGCTTTTAACTGGGTTATCTGAGGGCCTTTCACACAGACCTATAATGCAGAATATCAAGGCAGAAAATCCCACAATACCTGCTTTGAATTGGGTTATCTGAGTCCACGCTCAGATAATATGGGATTTCCTGCCTTGATATTCTGGGATATGGGGCTGTGGAAGGGCCCTGAGTCCACACTGCCATATATCCCAGTTCAAAGTAGATATTGTGGGATTTTCTGCCTTGATATTCTGGGATATAGGGCTGTGTGGAAGGGCCCCCAGAGTGTGGTGGAGGCTCCTTCTTCCGAGGCTTTTAAACAAAGGCTGGACGGACATCTGTCAGGGGTGCTTTGAATGTGATTTTCCTGCTTCTTGAAAGGGGGTTGGACTGGATGGGTCACGCGGTCTCTTCCAACTCTATGATTCTATGATATGCCATCTACCAATCTTCATCTACTCCTCCACAGAAAAGGATAATATCTCAGAAACTAGACCTAACGCAGTCTATCCAATGCAATTTTCTGAACTGACACCCCAAATAACTCCAGAAGCAGGCCTGAAAACCAAGACACCAAGAAAATGAATTGTTCTGCTATGTAATCTATCTCAAATCTTAGTAGAGTTAACCTTTTGGACTAAAATTCCTAGAATTCCACAGCTAATATGAAGCCTAAGTGCAGGATTCTGTGGGTTGTAATGCAAAAGGGGAGATAGTTGAACTCTGATCTTTCTTTTTAAAAATATTTTCTTCTGCCCACAGGGACCAAAACTCTGAGCGGCAGCATTGCAACCATGGACACATGTGTTCGACATTTCAGGGAAGCCACAGGTAAGGCTTTTCCACATAGAACTTTGCCAACTTAAAGGAAATTTTGCCCATCTTCACAAGAAGCCAAAGTCTCCTTCGCATTTTATTCTTATCTCCTTTAGGTGTGGTTCCTTTTCTTACGAGGTCGAAGGCTACTAGATTGCAAAATCTTCCCTAGCTTTGCCACGTTAGACTCTTAACTGTTTAATTGCAAAGCACCATGATAGATAGTGTTATAAATGAAAAGGTGTATCTGTGTTGAGGAGTGGCTATGAGCCCGCCTTCCTATGCTGTGGGTCTTCCATCCAGACACTGAACAGGGTGAGGGTTGCTTAGGGATACAAGAGGAGACACTTGCATCCTTTAGAGCAAACATTGGGAAACTTTGGGCCTCCAGGTGTTGTGGACTTCAACTTAAGCGGCTGAGGGGGAAAAGGAAAGGGCCAAGGCTGTTAGGAATTGTGGGAGTTGAAGGCCAAAATGCCTGGAGGCCCCATGGCTGCTTTAGAGTAAGCTAGAGTGGTTAGATCAATGTGCCCTGTTTTTCATTAGGCTTAAGTATACCAGCTGCACTTCCAACTTTGCATTTTATTTTGCTGCCATGGCCACTTGGAGATTTGGGGAGTGAAAGCCCTACACGGTCATTTTTCCAAGCTGTGTAATAGCACTGCCCAAAGGCCGCATAATGTGCCATGTGTGCCATTCAACAATGCTGGGATGGTATGTGCCACAAGGCTCCAAACGGTCAGAACCTAGAAAATTTATCAACAATGAATTGGTTAAATAAGATATGAGCCACAGTCCTATCAAAGTTCGATCCTGGGCCCAGTGCTGTTCAACCTCCTTATTAATAACTTTGATGAAGATTTAGAGGCTGTGCTTCTCCAGTTTGCAAATGGGGTCAAATTAGAAGAGAGCTAATACTCCAGAGGACAGGACCAGAATTCAAAAGGTCCTTAACAGATTAGCGAGCTGATTGGACAAAACTAACACAATGAATTTCAACAAGGACAAATGTTAAAATACTCCACTTTGGCAGAAAAAATTCAAAGATGCTGAATGGGTGGTGAGTGGCTCAACAACAGATTCACATGGGAAAGAGATCTTGCGAGTCTTCGTGGACAACAAGTTGAACATGAGCCAACAGGGTGATGCAGCAGCTAAAAAAGCCAGTGGGATTTTGTTCTGCATCCAAAGGAGTCTAGTATCCAGATCGAGGGACATTATGGTGCCTCTCTATTCTGCTTTGGTTAGACCTTCTGGGCACCCCAGTTCAAAAGGGATATTGATTCTAAGCTGTCCAGAGGAAGAGGGTGACTAAAATGATCAAAGTTCTGGAGACCATGAATAATCCCTATGAAGAGTGTCTTAAAGAGTCTGTTTCACCTGTAGAAGAGAAGGTTGAGAGGAGACATGAGGGCCATGTTTCAATATCTGAAAGGCTGTCCTAAGGAAGAGGGAGCAGGACTTCCTTTCTGCTGCCCTGGAAACTAGAACTCAATGAAGCCATGGGTTCAAATTGCGGGAAAGGAGATTCCATCTGAACACAAGGAAGAACTTCCTGACTGTAAGAGCCATTCAGCAGTGGAACTCGCTGCTTCAGAGTCTGGTGGAAGCTCTTTCATTAGAGGCTTTTAAACAGAGGCTGGATGGGCATCTATCAAGGGTACTTTCGTTTTTCCTCCTTGGCAGGGGATTGGACTAGATGGCCCACATGGTCTCTTCCAACTCTATTATTCTATGATTATTCTAAGTTAACCTATAAATTAAGCTTTAATGGTGACAGCAAAACCTACGCCTATTATATTGATTACATTTGGGGAAAACATTCATTTTTTACAGGATGCTCTGTGGAAACAGCACTGGAGGCTGCTTCTCTCCATCCAGCTCAACTCTTGAAAATTGAGGACAGAAAGGGCACCTTGGATTATGACAGTGATGCAGGTGAGGGTGACTTAGAGTCGGGTATGCATTTTCTCCCATCCAATCAGTGATTGGTTCCAACTCTGCTTTGTTCCCGTGTAAGTAACACCCAAGGTACTACTTGAATGTTACACTGGAAACTTGATGTTCAGCACAAAATGAGGTTGATGCAGCTATTCTAGAAGAGGACAGACTATGGTTCCTTGGTAGATTTTTTACAAGTGGCATGTGATCGGAGAACAACTTTGTTGTCGGTGACTATTCCTAATATAAAGCAGCTATATCAACAAACATTCTGCTTTTCACAAATATTAGAAGAAAATTAGCAGTGGCCCAAAGTATTAACTTCCTCTATAAGTGACATTGTTTCCTGTTTTCCACAGATTTCCTGTTGCTGGACAACAGCCTCCACGTTCAAGCTACCTACATTGCAGGCCAGCAGGTCTGGAGAAAAGATGACTTTCTGATCTAAAATGGGAACCAGGACAGGAAGCAGTTATCACCAGGGGCAGAGAGCAGAGTCTTCCCTTTCTTCCAAAGGCCCTTTGCCTCTCTCTCATATCTCTTCTGACTTCTCCAACTTCCTTTCTTTTTTGCTCCGGCAGCATTCCTGGAAAGAGGCCTATTTGTTGTTTTGGATTACAACATTTGTTGTTTTGGATTACAACAGGCTTTGGTTTCCAATGAACTGTGACAGAACAAATGTATTTTTCTCACCTTGCCTTAGAAAGCAGAGGTAGCTGCACAGCACATCTGTTATACTGTCAGAACAAAGCACATGCTTTGAGCTTTTCCTGCAGAGCCAAAGGAAACATCTCCAATTCACTGTGTGAATGCAAAAGCATGAAGATAGTATTGGATCCAGTGTAGCAGAATGGGAAAATCTGCTGACCTGGCACACTCCTCTAGCCATTTCCTTCCTACATTGCCTCTCTCTTTGACTTTTATGCTGGATTGGCATTTTGTGGATGATCATCTGCTTTGTTTTAGCCCACTTCAAGGGAAAAAGGAGTGCTCTATGAAGTTTTCATGTTGTTTGTTAAATGCCTATCCCAGATTTCCACCACAAGCAGTGTGTGAGATAACTAATAATCATATCAAAGATAAAGTAGGAAAGAACAATCTAACCATAACACTATGGAACACTATGATTGTTGTTCTTGGGTTATAAATGTCATTTCTTAATTGGTTCCATCGTAAAAACGTGGGAAAAGTTTATTAAACCACAACAACTTTGTTTCTGCGAGAGGGACATCCTGCTATAGCACATTTTGTTCTAGGTTTTCACTGAGTATCTCATCATCTCAACCAATTCAACATAGTTTGTAGCAGCCACAAAAATGAAGTTTCTGGAGTAGAACAGCTACTTTCAAAGTAAGGACCGCACAAATAAACAGGAATATCACTTTCAAGCCAGGAACAGGAAAGTTTTCAAATTTTGTTACACAGTGTAATACAAACAAATTAGTTAAAACAGGCATGGGCAAACTTTGGCCCTCCAGGTGTTTTGGACTTCATTTTCCACAATTCTTAGCAGCCAATAGTCTGTTAGAGTTGTGGGAATTGAAGACCAAAACACCTGGAGGACCAAAGTTTGCCCATGATGCTTGGGTTAAAATCTATCCACTTCCAAAGTAAAGGAGCAGCCACTTATTAAAACCTGTTTTTATGTACTAATAAAACTGACTGAATACAAAGGTCTTTGCCTCTTAATAACACAAAGACAAAAATAGCTGAATGATCTCAGCAGCCTAATTTCAGAGTGTTGAGGTGTATTAACTTGGCACGTTCATCCTGTCTGGCCTACCTCTCTAAAAAAGGACACCGATTTGTTTGAGTTGGTGTGTCAGTGTGGATTGAGCCTCGATTGGAGGGGAGAAGACTTAACCCAGATGCAAGACATTGGTTTGGGCTTGTAGGCTTAATCTTTCCTGTCTTCATTGACCAAATCCTCATGACTTCATTGGCTGCCCACTTCTGGAAAACTGGCTAGCCCTTTGCAAGCTAGTCATTTCTTCTTCTTTTTTCTTAATCATTTTCAAATATTTTTTTCCAGAAAGTGTGGTAGAGAAAAGGGAGCATGTAGGTTATTCGTGATAGTGTTAGTAAATAAAATCTTAACAAATATCTGGTAAATCAATGAGAGGAAGGAAGATGGTGTAGAGGGGAAGGGTAAAAACATTATATAACATTTTATTGTGTTACATCCAATTCTTGGTCTGTGTTACCCAAACACTCATTACTTGTGATACTAAAGTTTTGCAAGTTTGATCTATCCTTCATATCAAAGAGAGGAATATTTTTATCTTCTATTGAACCTAATAGTCTTACCTTCCTGAACCTTCTTATATTTCTGTTTTGTTCCATATTTCTTCTCTTCTTCTTTTCTTCTTAAAAGTTCTTCTTGGTTGTTCCTGTCAGTTTATTTCTTTTAACTCTCTTGTTTGGTTTTGTTTATTGCCAAACTTTATCTAAAAAGTCAATTGAATCTGTTTGTTAGTAGGTCAGTATTTATGTGAACAAAATACAATATATATCACTACCTTTCTTCCCCCTCTTTTTTCCTCTATACAATACACACACACACACCCCAAATTTACTTAGCAGGTACTAGGCCTCTATTAACCAATATATGAAGGGTTAATCTACGGTGTCATATATATAGTAATAAACCATCAAGACACCACACTTGAAGACCATCATACTCGAACAATGAGGGATTGCCTAAGTAGGAATAACAGAGATTAGACTCATGCAGCCCTCCAGTTCCCAGTCCCATGTTTAGGTGCATATGCATGCAAAAGTCATTTAGATGTTGGCAGACAAGTGATCCAGGAGACTAGGCTGTGAATCTGCATAGAAGAGGCCACAAGGGCCATCCAATACAATACACATGCAGAGGTTCCAATACAGTATTGTATTGGCCAATCAATACAATACACATGCAGAGGTTCTTCCTAATGTTTTGGTGGGATTTTTTCCCCTTGTTTCATTGTGTCCTGGTCTCCAGAGCAGTAGAAAGAATCTTCAATGTGATGTCTTCTCAGAAATTAAGATATTGGGTTTGGACTGCGGCATGGAGGAGGGGGGGTGTTCCACTAGCCGAGGGGCCCCCATAGAGGTCGTGGTGGGGAGGGGGAGATGCGGAAAAAGGAGACCTCTAATTCGGCCTAATTCGGACCACTTATCTACATTAACAATTCCCAACCGGTCTCCTAAGGTAAATTGGTGTAACCAGGTGAGCGGGCCCTCTGGGTTGAAGGTGGTGCTGCTGAACGCCAGATCTGTCAACGGAAACCAGAAATTAAAGGTGAAGCCTCTGCCTTTGTTTGTGTTTGTGTGTCTCATTGTATATTACTGTAAAGGCATTGAATGTTTGCCTATGTATGTAAATGCTGTAATCCCTCTGAAGATCACATGGGAAGGAATCCCACTGGAGCATTGCAGCGCACCCAAATACCTGGGAGTCACTCTGGACCGTGCTCTGACCTACAAGAAACACTGCCTGAATATCAAGCAAAAAGTGGGTGCTAGAAACAATATCATACGAAAGCTGACTGGCACAACCTGGGGATCACAACCAGATACAGTGAAGACATCTGCCCTTGCGCTGTGCTACTCTGCTGCTGAGTATGCATGCCCAGTGTGGAACACATCTCACCACACTAAAACAGTGGATGTGGCTCTTAATGAGACATGCCACATTATCACGGAGTGTCTGCGCCCTACACCACTGGAGAAATTACACTGCTTAGCCGGTATTGCACCACCTGACATCCGCCGGGAAGTAGCAGCCAATAGTGAAAGGACCAAGGCAGAGACATCTCCAGCTCATCCCCTGTTTGGGTATCAGCCAGCACGTCAACGACCTAAATCTAGAAATAGTTTTCTAAGATCTACAGAGACACTCGCTGGAACACCTCAGCAAGCGAGAGTCCAAAAGTGGCAGGCTCAAACCCAGAACCTCAACCAATGGCTGATACCAAATGAGAGACTCCCCTGGGCACACAGAAGACTGGGCGACTTGGAAGGCGCTGAACAGACTGCGCTCTGGCACCACGAGATGCAGAGCCAACCTTCAGAAAGGGGGCTACAAAGTGAATCCTCGACATGCGAGTGTGGAGAAGAGCAAACCACTGACCACCTGCTGCAATGCAACCTGAGCCCTGCCACATGCACAATGGAGGACCTTCTTGCAGCAACACCAGAAGCACTCCAAGTGGCCAGATACTGGTCAAAGGACATTTAACCAACTACCAAACTCACACATTTTGTATCTTGTCTGTTTGTTTGTTTGCTTTGTTCTGTTAGAAATGTAAAATAATTTGACTGGTTATCCTGACACGACAAATAAAAATAAAAATCCCTCAGAGTCCCCTAAGATAGAAGGGTGGAATATAAATAAAATGTATTATTATTTGAAACACAACAAGATGAGTCCACAGCAGATACTCTACTGGATGTTGTATTGAATCACATGTTGGGCACTTCTCAAGTGTCTAGGACTGTGTGATGTATTGGTGGATAATGCGTGCAGATCCCAGTAAGGTGGCCTTCTGCAGGTGGCAGATGGTAATTCTGTCAGTGCCGATTGTTTTTAAGTGCAGGCCAAGGTATTTAGGCACTGCACCCAGTGTACCAATCACCACTGGGACCACCTTGACTGGCTTGTGCCAGAGTCTTTGCATTATTATTATTATTATTATTATTATGTATATTATTATTATCACTGTCTCTTGTATCCAATGGGGTTTGACGCAGAACAACAGGATCCCTACCGGTTGTTAGGAATTGTGGGAGTTGAAGTCCAAAACACCTGGCGGCCCAAGTTTGCCTGTGCCTGATGTATCTCCAAGGAGGGGGGGAACCTTTTCAGAGCGGAACGGAAGTGCGCGGGCCGAAGGGGGAAGGGGTTCGGCGACGGTCTGGTCCCTCTCTGCTTAGTCTCGTGGAGGAATCTCAGCCGAATCTGAGTAAGTCATAGTTGGAAGAAGACGCTCAACTGGGGGAAAAGGGGTTTGGGGGCAAAATATCCTTGGCCCTAGCTAGGCAAGGCCTTAAGCAAGCTGCAGGAACTCAACCTCACATTCAGTAATAATAATATAATTAATGTTGGGTGGCTGTGAGTTTTTCGGGCTGTATGGCCATGTTCCAGCAGCATTCTCTCCTGACGTTTTGCCTGCATCAGTGACTAATGGCATTTTCAGAGTTTCTGTTGGAAATGGGGCAAGTGAAGTGTAAATATACCAGTGGAATAATGTCCAGGGTCGGAGAAAGAACCCATGTCTGATTGAAGCAAGCGTGAATGTTGCAATTGGCAAACTTGAATAGTATTGAGTAGCCTTGCAGCTGCAAAGTCAATCAGTGTGGGTATTTGCATGAAGGTAGCTTGGCTGTTGTGCCTGGAGGCACCCTCTGTTTGGGAGGTGTTCTCTGGCACCTAGTTGTTTGCTGTCTGGAGTTCCCCTCTTTCTGAGTAGTGTTATTTATTTACTGTCTTGATTCTGGTGTTGTTGTTGTTGTTTTTTAATCCTGGTAACCAGATTTTGTGCAGTTTCATTGTTTCTGGTGAAATTGTTCACCTGTTTGTGGATTTCAATGGCTTCTCTGTGTAGTCTGACATGATGGTTGCCAGAGTGGTCCAGCATTTCTGTGCTCTCAAATATTATTCTGTGTCCAGGTTGGTTGATCAAGTGCTCTGCTATAGCTGATTTCTTTGGTTGAATCAGTCTGCAGTGCTTTTCCTGCTCATTGATTTGTGTCTGGGCAATGCTGCTGCGTTTGGGAGTCCCCATGTAGACTTCTTGTCCACAGCTGCATGATATGTGACCAGCTCTTGCAGTGGTGAGAGGACCCCTGGATGTAGCAGGTGCCTGTGAAGACCTCCCAAACAAAATTATAATAATAAGTTTTTTTATATCCCGCCCCCTCTCCCGGAAGGGACTCAGGGCGACTTACAGCAAATAATAATAATAATAATAATAATCTTTATTTATACCCCGCTACCATCTCCCCCAACGGGGACTCGGAGCAGCTTACATGGGGCCAAGCCCAAACAACAAATTACAATACAAAAATACAAATTGCAGTAAAATAAACAACATAACAATAAAGTATAAAACATCAAAGCATGTAAACAATATACACAAAACATAGAAACCAAACATAATGACAGAGAGCGGGCCGCATGTACATAAGATAAAGGGGCAGAATTGTTTGTAAGGGAGAACTCATAGAGAGACAGAGAAATAAACCTTCGTACGGGGGGAGGGGGGGGGACTCCTGGGACAAGAACGTTGAGGGAGCAATAGCATAAAATGATGTGACTACTCTCCAAAAGCACAATGGCAGAGCCAGGTCTTGAGACTTTTTAAAGGTTTCTAAAGTAGGAGCTTTCCTAAGTAGAGCAGCTTACAGCAAAGGATGCCTCCAGGCAACAATACTGATTGACTTTGCAACTGCAAGGCTACTCAGTGCTAATCAAACTTGCCAATTGCAACGTTTACACTTGCTTCAAACAGACAAGGGTTCTTTCTACCATCCTGGACCTTATTCCACACACACACACATAGATATAGATATACACACATATATACATACATACATACATACATACATACATACATACACACTCCACTTGCTTAATTGTCAACAGAACCTCTGAAGATGCCAGCCACAGATGCAGTTGAAACATCAGGACATCCGTACCCAAAATGTGCATTGTGGTGTAGAAGGCTTTCATGGCCAGAACCACTGAATTCCTGTGAGTTTTTTGCGCTGTATGGCTAGATCCCAGCAGTATTCCCTCCTGGCGTTTCGCCTGCATCTGTAGCTAATGCCATCTTTAGCAATGAAACAAGTGGAATGGCTTCTCTGTGGAGTCTGACATCATGATTGTCAAAGTGGTCCAGCATTTCTGTATTCTCAGGTTGGTTAATCAAGTGCTCTGCTATTGCTGACTTCTCTGGTTAAATTAGTCTACAGTGCATTTCATGTTCTTTGATTCTGGGCAATGCTGCATTTGGGGGCCCCTATGTAGCCTTTCCTCAGGAAGAAGAAAATGCTGTGAATGTCAATTCATAGAATTTGATTGCTGTACTCTAGATATTGATGTGCCTTATGTATTTCTAGGTGAAGGATGGTGTAAGGACTTACTAGACAGAAGTCTGTCGTAGTCTTCACTTTCCTAATGGAAGAGGTAAGTGCTCTTATTACACCATTTTTATTCCTGGGTTATCAATGTCATTTCCTAATTGGTTCTATTATACAAACATGGGAAAAGTGTATTAAATTGCCCAAACTTTGTTTTTGCGGGAGGGACATCTTTCTGCAGCACAATTTTTCTATAATTTCCCAATGAATATCTCATCATCAACTCTTAACCAATTCAATATAGTTTCTGCCATAGAACAACTACTGGGACAGAACAACTAATTTCAAAGTAAGGACCACAACATTAAACAAGAAATAACACTTTCAAACCAGGAACATATTTTTTCTCAAATTTTGTTACAGTGTGTAATAGCATTCTTTTATAGAAAGGGAGATTCATTGTGTCACATGACCACAGCCTCCTTTGGGAAAAGATCCAGAGATCACCACAGGCAACAAGTTGACCATGAACAATAAGTGTGATGCAGCAGCTTAAAAAGCCCATGCGATTCTAGGCTATATCAACAGGAGTATCTAGATTAGGCATGGGCAAACTTTGGGGCTCCAGGTGTTTTGGACTTCAATTCCCACAATTTGTAACATGCCTGATCTAGATCAAGGGAAATCATAATCCCACTCTATTCTGCTTTGGTCAGACCTCTTTACCGGGGAACCACTGTGTCCAATTCTGGGCATTGCAGTTTAAAAGAGATATTGATTCTAAATGTGTCCAGAGGAGGGCAACTAAAAGGATCAAAAGACTGGAGACCACAAATCCCTATGAAGAGGAGCAGCTTAAACAGCTGGGTCTGTTTAGTCCCAGAAGAGAAGGCTGAGAGCAAACATGATAGCCATGTATAAATATGTGAAAAGATGTCCTAAGGAAGTGGGAGCAGGCTTTGTTTTCTGCTGCCCTGGAGACTAGAATTCAGAGCAATCGGTTTAAATGACAGGAAAGGAAATGTTAAACTGCCAGAGCAGTTCAGCATTGGAACTCACTGCCTCAGAGTGCAGTAAAGTCTCCTTTGTGGGGTTTTAAGCAGAGGCTGGATGGCCATCTGTTGGGAGTGCTTCAGTTGTGCTTTTCTTGGCTGGCAGAAGGGTGTTGGACTGGATGTCCTTTGTGGTCTTTTCAAACTCTGTTCTATGTTACAGCCTAGTAGGGTTTAAAAATTGCAACTCCACGTGTGAAGGTTTTAGAAGAGAGAAAGTATTTCAGCATCAAAGCTTCTATTTGTTCTTACAGACTGAGGAATCTGACTGTTATCCATATCACCAAGGAAAGCAAAAGATTAAATGAATAATCATCCCCAGTATGACTTGTGAAAAGTCAAGCGATTTTCAGGAGTCGGGCATGAATTCTCTTCTTTGGGGGATCTTTAAACAGAGGTTTAATCGACATCTTTCAGGAGTGATATAGTTGTGTATTCCTGTAATGTGAAGCTCATGAGGCCAATCGAACAGCTTCTTCAAAGATTTTAGAGCCCAAGCAGACTCATCTAAAGAGTCTGCAAATCTCATTGCTGCAAATCTTGAATTTCTCAAACACGTTAGCACTCGCTTCTTGTTTCTTAGTGGCCTTGTTTTGGCTCCAGCCTTGACAGCAACCATAGATTTGAGTCACTAGTAAAACAAATGCCCTTTCCACAAAGACACATCCATACCTATTTTAAAGAGTAGCCCTCATGCTATCTGTTTGCTCTTTCTTTGATTCAGGCTCCCAAGCCCACTTTCCAGGATGAATTGGAATGGTGCATCGCTCAGCTGGAGACGGGGCTACTGCATCTCAACCCTACTCCAAAACAAGGTCTGTTGGGTTTGCCTTCCCCTTCCTCCAATCTCTGTTCTCTCCTGTTACAGTTCTATCACAGCATTTTTTGTAGCACATCAAAAGGTTTTTGCCATAATTACTGTTCAACCAAAATATATAACTACCAGGATCCTTCTCCCTTGTGGAACATTCTCTTCTCTTTTCCGTAGCTTTAAGATTGGACTCAGGCAAAGCAAACAAATCTCATCCCGCAATCATTCAGAGTTGGAACATGATGTCAAAAAGCTTTTGTCATCCCATCAACAACAGCAATTAGCCACTTGCTAGAAATAATGTTTCTATTTAACTTGTTAGAAAAGTATGACTAGGCCTTTACTTCAGATCCTAATACGTTCTTTACTCTCATCTTTGGGCAAGTATTTATGACAAAGATTTGATTTTCTGTCTGTCAATTGGGACTGTTATTGACCCATCTCTCCAGTTTGCTTTGATAGTGCACAAAAAGGTCAGATAAACCGAAAGTATTGTCGAAGGATTTCATGGCCGGAATCACTGGGTTGCTGCGAGTTTTCTGGGCTGTATGGTCATGTTCCAGAAGCATTCTCTCCTGATATTTCACCCACATCTATGGCAGGTATCCTCAGAAGTTGTGAGGTATATTGGAAACTAAGCAAGAGAGGTTTATGTATCTGTGTAAGGTCCAGGGTAGGAGAAAGAATTCTTGTCTGTTGGAGGGAAGTTTGAATATTGCCATTGGCCAGCTTGATTAGCATTGAATAGCCTTGCAGCTTCAAGGCCTGGCTGATTCCTGCCTGGGGGAATCCTTTTTTGGGAGATGCTAGCTGGCCCTGATTTATTCTTGTCTGGATTTCCCCTGCTTTTTTAGTGTTGTTCTTTATTTACTGTCCTAATTTAGAGTTTATGGTAGCCAGATTTTGTTCATTTCCATGGTTCCCTCGTTTCTGTTGAAATTGTACACACAGTTGTGCATTTCAATGGCTTCTCTGTGTAGTCTGACATGGTGGTTGTTAGAGTGGTCCAGAATTTCTGTGTTCTCAAATAATAATAATTCCCACTTGCCTCAAACAGACAAAAGTTCTTTCTCCCACCCTGGACATTCCACAGATATATAAACCCCACTTGCCTAGTTTCCAACAGACTTCACAACCTCTGAGGATGCCTGCCATATATGGGGGCCAAATGTCAGGAGAGAATGCTTCTGGAACATGGCCATACAGCCCGGAAAACTCACAGCAACCCATTCACTTTGTTTGTTTGTTCGTTCCATATATGTGACATCTTTCTACTAGAGTGGGACTTAATGTGCTTCTCAAAAAGGATCAATTACAAATGTAACAATAAACATTTAAAAACAATTAAAATAATTACATTGTGTATTCCTGCATGGCAGGGAACTCGACAAGATGTCCCTTTTGATACCTTCCAGTTCTATGAATCTGTAAAATATAAGATCCTTTATAAGGTATACAAAACTAATAAATAAAGCAGCTCACCCTTATAAGAAGCCTCTTTACATTAAAATCATTTAGTGGCTAGTCTTATAGCAGTGAGCCTAGCCTGTCAGCACTTAGAGATGCAGCTGATCAGCAGGGCCATATTCAAAGTCTTTCCTGCTTTACTATCTTCCTGAATTGCACTCCACTACTTTTTCTTTGAGACAGAAACATCACCGCACCATGGTCACCGCCACTTTGTGGGGGTGCCGATCAAATGAGTTGTAAACAAATATTGCGTCAGAGTAATGGCACAGTTCACTCAGTATATTTTGCACATTATTTTAATACATTTTTTAAAATTCATGAAAGCAGCAGAGGAGACACAGCGTGTTCTTAAGGTGCTGCGGTCACAGAAGGCTCCTGTTGTGAAAAAGCGGAAGGTGATGCATCATGTTTTGGGGGATTATCGGCTCAAGATGGAAGAGGAGATGAAAAGCGCAGCAAAAACAGGTGAGTTGTAATGTTCTTGACCTTTCCAGAAGCCCTGGGAGGAACTGAGGTATACATGTTTTAAGTTTGTTAGGTGTGATTTATGTTGAATACCAAATTTGCACAATGTATGTAGTTATTTTACACAGGCAGAAATGAAGGAGAGTAACGCTATATTACTTTTCTTCCTCCCCTACAGCCATGAAACCTGAGATATTACTAATACAACCAGGAGACAATTTGGGAAGTGTGTTATATAGGAAGCAACCCAGCCAGCCCTCTGCAGTATCAACATCGTGGTTTACAACATCAGATAATAGTTTTCAGTTTGGCTTTGATCCTTCTGAAAATAACTCTGAAGAAATCAGCGGAACTACACCAGAAGTATGTGGTGGGGAAAGCATCCACGAGCAGCCTGTGGATCACAATCCCTCCGGCACATTAGGTTTTTCCACTGGAAGACTCGGTTCTGAATTTGCTTTCAACTTTGCAATCCCACCTCAGTCTGTTGCTGCTGATCCAGACTCAGGGGCTGACACTACAGAGGTAAAAAACCCAACTGCAGAATCAGTGATAATGATGCAGAAATCAACCTTTCCTGAACCTGCTAGACCTGACAGAGTAGATGCAACGGATAAGGAAGCTAGAAGAGATGGAAAATGTCTTGCGCAAGAAGTTCCTGCATTGGAGGCATCTCAAGCAGGTATGGAAGCTGCTGCTTCGAGTTCTAATTCAGTCTGAGAAATAGAGATGTGCCTGTTCATTAATCACATGTTGAAAATACATTCTGGCTGAGGATGCCCGGGGAGAAAGGGAACTGTTTATTTTTTGTAAACTTTAAATAAATGTTAAAACTTTTATCTTTAGTCTACAGTAAGAGTAGATAGAGTACCCTTACTGTAGGGGTTTTTAGTATGTAGATATTTGGATAGATATTTTATTTAGTACATGTTTTTATGTATTTGTAGATATTTTCATGTAATATGTATTTATATGTGATGAGTGGAGAACCACGGGGTTGTGTCCTGGGCCCGGTTCTGTTCAACATCTTTATTAATGTCTTAGATGAAGGGTTAGAAGGCATGATCATCAAGTTTGTAGACGGGACCAAATTGGGAGGAAGAGCCAATACCCCAGAAGACAGGAGAAGAATTCAAAATGGTCTTAACAGATTAGAGAGATGATTGGCCAAAGCTAACAAAATGAAGTTCAACAAGCACAGATGCAAGATGCTCCACTTAGGCAGAAAAATAAAAATTAAAATACAAAGATACAGAATGGGGGACACCTGGCTTAACAGCCATATGAGTGAAAAAGATCTTGGAGTCCTCATGGGAAACAAGTTAAATATGAGCCAGGAATGTGATGCTGCAGCTAAAAAAAAGCAATGGGATTTTGGCCTGCATCCATAGGAGTCATGCTAACCTTATATTCTGCCTTTGTCACACTACTTTACCTGGAATCACATTGTGTCCAATTCTGGGCACCACAATTGGAGATGTTGACAAGCTGGAATGTGTCCAGAGGTGGGCAACTTAAAGGATCAAGGGTCTGGAGCACAATCCCTATGAGAAGCAGCTTAAAGAGCTGGGCATGTTTAGCCTGCAGAAGAGAAGGCAGAGAGGAGACATGATGAGGGCCATGTATCAAGATGTGAGGAGAAGTCATAGGGAGGAGGGAGCAGGCTTGTTTTCTGCTGCCCTGGAGACTAGGACGTGGAACAATGGCTTCAAACTACAGGAACGGAGATTCCACCTGAACATTAGGAAGAATTTCCTAACTGTGAGAGAGAGCTGTATTGTTGAAGGCTTTCATGGCCGGAATCTCTGGGTTGTTGTAGGTTTTTTCAGGCTATATGGCCATGGTCTAGAGGCATTCTTTCCTGACGTTTCACCTGCATCTATGGCAAGCATCCTCCAGACTACAGACTACTCCAGGCACTGCAGACTACTTCAACCAGAGAAATCAGCCATAGCAGAGCACCTGATGAACCAACCTGGACACAGCATTTTATTTGAGGACACAGAAATGCTGGACCACTCTCACAACCACCATGTCAGACTACACAGAGAAGCCACTGAAATCCACAAGCATGTGGACAATTTCAACAGAAAGGAGGAAACCATGAAAATGAAGAAAATCTGGCTACCAGTATTAAAAAACTCTAAAATTACAGCAACACAACAACAGAGAGGAAACAAACAAGGACATCTAATCACCTCTCAACAAAAGTTTGCTCCAGGCACTGTCAGGCCATTATATGCTAATCAAGGTGGTGAGTTGAAACATTCACACCTAGCTCCAGCAGACAAGAGTCCTTTGTCCCACCCTGGTCATTCCACAGATATATAAACCCTTTTTCCTAGTTCCAACAGACCTCACTACCTCTGAGGATGCTTGCCATAGATGCAGGCGAAGTCAGGAGAGAATGCCTCTAGAACATGGCCATATAGCCCGAAAAATCCTACAACAACCCTTGTGAGAGAGAGCTGTTCAGCAGTGGAACTCTCTGAGTGTGGTGGAGGCTCCTTCTTTAGGGGCTTTTAAACAGAGGCTGGATTGCCATCTGCCAGGGGTGCATTGAGTGTGATTTTTCTGCTTCTTGGTAGAATGGGGTTGGGCTGGATGGTCCACGACTTCTCTTCCAACTCTAGTACTCCTTGATTCTGTGATTCTTATATGTTTTTATTTAGCACAAATTTGTCTGTATTTGTAGAGGCAGTCCCCAGGTTACAAACAAGATAGATTCTGGAGATTTACTCTTAAGCTGAATTTGTGTATAGATGAAAACATGTACATTTTAAAGTGTAACTCCTGCCATATATATTCAAATATAGGCATAGATAGGCTTTGGATAGCTTAGGAAAGGGTTAACACCCCTGTAACATTTGTTTTGTCATCTGTGCTCCCGTTCAGAAGATTTCATCTCCATTTCTGTCCCTGTGACAATGGATTTTGGAGAATTGGTTTATTGTGGAAGCAAGAATTGGCCAGAAAATGTCAATGAAGACCCCTTTTCCCCATGATAATAACTTTTCCAGGAGTTGATTTCCCTTCCTAGGGATAGATTCCTCCCACTTCCTGTTGTTTCAGCCCTGTTTGTGGAGCCCCCGGTGGCGCAGTTGATTAAACCCCTTGTGCCAACAGGACTGAAGACCGACAGTTTGCAGGTTCAAATCCGGGAGAGGCGGATGAGCTCCCTCTATCAGCTCCAGCTCCTCTTGCGGGGACATGAGAGAAGCCTCCCACAAGGATGATAAAAACATCAAATCATCCAGGCGTCGCCTAGGCAACGTCCTTGCAGACGGCCAATTCTCTCACACCAGAAGTGACTTGCAGTTTCTCAAGTTGCTCCTGACACGACAAAAAAAGAGCCCTGTTTGTAACTATGAGTCATTTGTAAGTCAGATGTTTGTAACTCGAGGACTGCCTTTATCCAGCAGTGTAGATGGGCCCTGAGTCTATTATTGATTAAGAAATGAATACACTGATACTGGCTGCAATTTGCTTTAAAACAGCAATAAAGGTGCCATTACTCCAAGAAGTCTAGGACGTTTCAAATAAGTAAAATATATTTCAAATAAAATTGAAAATTGATGAAAATGCTGCTGATTGAATAACATTTTGCCCAATTGGTTTGTAGCGCCAGGAGAGACTAAAGCAGAATTGACAGTGCCAGCTGCTGGGATGCCCAAGAGAAAAAAGAAAAAGAAACAGGTGCCCTTTGCAGTAGCACATAGTGACAAAAGTAATTATGGTGGCAAATCCCACGGGAAAGGCATGTCTGAGCATCCTGACAAGTCTCAGGTATGGAAAGACTATTTTGTGTATATGCGACACACATAATTTTTTGTACTTCAATATTGTTTTAGCTTATATTTATTGATTGTTACTACTCGTAATTTTTTTAAATGTTCCCTTAGTAACATCTTGGTCACAGCTCTCTGCATTACAATCTAATTTGAAGTGTTGTTACATAAGGAATTTGGGGAGGGAGAGAAGATGAAAACAATCTGATTACATTTCTTATTGTGATCAGTTGGATCATCTTAAATCAAAAAATTATTTGCTCTAAGTTTAAACGGTGTATGTTACGTAGGGGTTTGTGTTAAGAAGTGGCTAACAAATATATTGGATGGGAATAGGAAAGGGAATGTCAGATACCTCAACTATAGGAATTGTCTTAAACAAATCAATTTTCTTTCTTTTGTTGCCTTCCCACTACCTTCTTGTTGTACCAGGCTGATGAGCAGATGAAAAGGGAAGTGGATTGGTGTGTAGAACAACTGGAGCTTGGCTTGAAGACGCAAAAATCAACTCCCAAGCAGAGTGAGTCAGAAATTGGAGGGGAGGGGATGAATTGCCAGAGAATACCTTGTGGAGGGGCTTCTGCAAAAGTGATGCATATATCGTAACTGCAAGAAATCTAGTAGAATTTTGTAATCAAAGCAACATCTTCTGCACCTTCTGGTGCTCTGAGTATGAAGGAAAAAAAGGAGTAGGGTCTGCTGATTCTTACACAAAATCAGACTGAAGCAAAAGTGAGGTTAGATGCTGCTAGACTGGTATTCTCTTTGTTCGTATTGTCTGCTTCTAATAAAAGATGGAGTCCAGTAAAGAGGGCGGCTGCTGCTGCTGCTGCTGTTGTTGTTGTTGTTGTTATTATTATTATCCAGTTTTTTTCTCTCGAGAAAACAAGGCTTCAAGTGGTTTACAGTAAAATCAATACAATTTTAAACCTAACAATATACAGACATTAAAATAGAGATATAGTATGTATATTGCATGAACATTCAAAAACATTTATAAGTCTATATTTATATATCACATTAACAAATAAGGTGTTTCTTTCATGAACATTAAAATATATTTTAATTTATTATTATTATTATTATTAACACAACAAGATTAGTACACAGCAAACAAGATTACTGTGCTGGCTGTGGCATTGGATCACACGTCAGACAGTTTTCAAGTGTCTAGGACTGTGTGATGTATTGCGAATAATGCATGCAGATCTGAGTAGGGTGGCCTTTTGCAGCTGACAAGATGGTAATTTTGTCAGCGCCGATTGTGTTTAAGTGCAGGCCAAGGTCTTGAGGCACTGCACCCAGTGTGATGATCACCAGTGGAACTACCTTTATTGGCTTGTGCCAGAATCGTTGTTGTTGTGGTTGTTTAGATTCCATTCCCCTGTCTTGAATGTTTAAGGGTATGTGTGGCATCTACTTTTTAAAGTATGTTTTTGAATGATTTATATCTCCCAGATAAAAGAATAAAGCCAAAACAACATACCTCACTCTTTTCTTGCAACCAGTGTCTTCTTCTAGCTAAAGTGGAGAGAATCCGTAGAGTTAGGTCTGAAAACACTGAATAGCCATTCGATGTTAACTATCTGGGAGGGAATTGGTGTGTGAAGGGGAAAAAAGGCCCATATAACTTCCCTGAACAGGATATTCCACAGAGATATGTGGTCAGTGTATTATCCATTGCCATTAATAATAATAATAATAATAATAATAATAATAATAATAATAATAATAACAACAATAATCATCATCATCATCATCATCATCATCATCTTTATTTGTACCCCGCTACCATCTCCCCAAGAGACTCGGTGCGACTTACATGAGGCCGAGCCCACAACATAGCAATAACAAAGCAAAAACAACAATAATACAAGCAGTAAATAAAACTCATAACAATAAATAAACAATAAACATTAACAATAGCACGACGACATTTAAAAACTTATTATTATTATTACCCCACATTTTCTCTTAAAAAGAGACTCAAAGCAGCTCACAATAAAACCAATATAATACAATGTATAACTTAAAAAATACGAGTAATTAAAATAGAATTAAACATAATAGTCCATGGAAATGTGTGGATAAATGAGGATGGTCCCTCATTTCTACGGTCATCACAAGTCATGGACAGCCAGGCTTTGAAGCTGCAAAGCTATTTAATGCTAATCAAGCTGGATCTGAGGATGTCTGCCATAGATGTGGGTGAAATGTCAGGAGAGAATGCTTCTGGAACACGGCCAAACAGCCCAACTCTATTATCTGTCACTTTAAAGTTTCATTGCTGGGTGAACCTGGCCCTCAAAAAACTAACTTTTAGGTGCAGAGCAGTGATCAATATGAACTTGCATTATTATTTAAGCTGTTAGGCAATCATCAATATACACACAATGTTGTTTGCAAATCAAATGCAGTGTTTAATACCCATTTGCAATATTTTTGAATATACTTGTTAAACAATATTCGCAAATATTGCTAAGCAAATATCATAGATTTCAATCATTCCAACCTATGTCTCTTCATTATCCTTTGCTTTCTTTCAGTGGATGAGGCCTTCCGAGCAATGAAGGTCCTACGCAGCGAGAAGGCAGTGCTGGCCAAGAAACGCCAGCTGATGAAAACTATGTTCGGGGATTACAGAGCAAAAATGGCAGAGGAAAGACAGAAGCAGTTGAAGCTCATGCAAGCAGGTTGGGAAGCTGGGCTAAAACCTTTTTTTTAGACAGGTTTTTAAAGAAGAAAGTTGTAAAGAGTGAGCCAAGAGGTATCACGAAAGTGTTTTAGGGGCATGAATAGAGTTTGAGTGGTTTTAACTGTTTCTTGTAATAGTTTCAATGTTTAATCCTATTTGAATTTTGGTATGTTTTCCCATTATATGTTAAAGTGTTTTAGTGCTCTCTGCTTTAGGTTTCTTTTTTGAAGAGATAAAGCAGGATAAAAATAATTAATAATAATAATAATAATAATAAATTTTTACAATGTTTATGTGTTTTGGGACCCCCAATGGTGCAACGGGTTAAAGCGCTGAGCTGCTGAACTTGCTGACTGAAAGGTCAGCGGTTCATATCCAGGGTGAGTTCTCACTGTTAGGCCCAGCTTCTGCCAACCCAGCAGTTCAAAAACATTCAAATGTGAGTAGATCAATACTCACTTCAGCAGGAAGGTAACGGTACTCCATGCTGTCATGCTGCCCACATGACCCTGGAGGTGTCTCTGGACAACAGCAGCTCTTCAGCTTAGAAATGGAGATGTGCACCACCTATGGACATGACTAGACTTAATGTCAGGGGAAACCTTTACCTTATGTGTTTTAATTATGCTGTAATACGCCTCAAGCCACTAGGAGAGATGAGTAAGAAATATGTTTAATTATTTTTATTATTATTATTATTAATTTGTTACCCACCTTTTGTAATACCTCGAGGTGGGGTACAACAGAATCAAAACATGTGAACATAAAATACATACATTAAATACATAGATAAAAACTCATCATTATAAAAACATACACCTAATATTATTCTTATCGTTATTCTGCCCATGGCTTCAACATTTCTCTCTGGTTGGATATATTCATTTGTACATTGACCATTGTTACATTATATATGTCTTTTTATCCCAGATGATTCCTTTTGATTGTGTTAAACATCACTTAATGTGATGTTCTAATTCTGGCCATAAAACCTCTTAATTGACCTGACACAATACAAAAGGATAGGAAAAGAAAAGTAATATGAGCTAGTGAGGATAATGATTCATATAATTCAACCATAAGGTCCTTTGCTACCAAACCTGTTCAATATGCAGATTTTATCTCTCCTTTGTGGGACATGTGTTGTGGTTGTTGTTGTTTTGCTAGATAAGGAAACAGACTTGGTGTTAGAATGCAGTATATGTCTCCATTAGACCTCATTTTTTATTATCGTTTTAGGGTTGATGGGAATTATAAATAATCAAGTTGTTGCCATTGTGCTAGAATAGGGAAAGTCTTGCTTTTTTTCTAGAAAAAAAGAGCATTTGGAGAGCGGTTTTCCAGTTAAAAGTTTGCAGGTTCTTCTAAACCAGTCAGTTGTGTTCCTTTTTTTTTTCTTGCCTGTGCAAACAACACTGTAAATGTAACAGTTCATCATCTCAAGATATGTAATATGATGGCATCTTCCATTCTTCACACAGACTCTTTTCTTCTTCCCCTCTCAGCATCAAAAGCCGCTCATATTGCAGAAGTGACTGAAGGTGCCCACAAGAACCAAAGTCAAGTTTTCTGGAAATCTGCAGAAAGGCTGAGAAGAGAAAAGAACCCCAGAGAATCATTGCTTCATCCTCCAGCCTCCTCTGCTTTTGGTGGCAATGCTGACACATCCTCTTTCAGGTTTACGTCTTCACAAGGAGAATTCTGCTTTAATTTTTTCTAAGAAATCATTGGGACACTTTTAGATGGATCTCGTGCGAGTTCTGAAAAGCAATACCAAATGCCTTTTTAAAGAAGGAAAACAAACCAAAGACTTTGTTGCCGTGCAGCCTTCAGAATACAACAGTTGTAAATAAGGCAAAAACCTCAATAAAATGACTTAGGCCCCATTTGAACTGGATTATGTGGTCGGTGTAGACTCATGCAATGAAGATCGAACTGGATTACATGAGTCTACACTCCCTTATAATCGTGTTCAGTCTGCATTATAAAAGCAGTGTAGATGGGGCCCCAGAAGGACAGAGTGGGAATATTATAGGGCTCACTGTTCTCATAATGTAATGTGTGCTGCTTTTTGCAGCAGAGTTAGGTGCAGTCTTATAAAAAATCAACAGGCAAATTATTAAAGTGGCAGAGATCATTTAGAGTTTGCAGAAAGGAAAACAAGAAGCAGCAAAAGAATAATATACTTTAAAAGAGATTCGAAGTATAAAATGATGTGGCACGTGCGCAGTTAGAATAGTTTTGTGTATTAATCATAGACTCCTGCTTTATATAGGTAGAACAGGTATGTAGGCAGCAGTAACTTGGTCTCTTACTCTGCTTTGGAAACAACTTGACAAATTGGCACATCTGCCTATCTAAGATTGTGAGAATAGGGTAGGAAGGACAAGGACATCAGTGCCGGCTGCTTTAAGCTCTGGATATGACTGTTATTTAAATAATAGCAGCACATTCTTTTTTTAATTCAAGCGCCACCAGCTTGCGATTACTGGTGTACAACAAGCTGATGATGGCACTTTGCTTCACGTGCAAAATATTCAGTTTAACAAAATCCTGAGTCTGTACAGGTGTTTAGAACAGCTGATGCCAAACTGTTGCCTAATAAAAACTCCACAATGTGTGGAAGTAGTGTTTGCTTGTGTGTGTGTTTTGCTTCATTTGAGAGGAAAGGAGCCTCAAACTAAGAGACACCTTGTCTAGGGTTGCAGTGCAAAATGCACTCACTCAGTAGAAAGTCCCACTAAATCCTTGGTTCATATTTTTATGTACACAATGCTTAAGGTAATAATTGAATTTTGTGAAATTGATTTGGGGGAGATGCATTTTCTAGGATGGAGCAAAGCAAGTTGGCAATCCTCATTTGCGCATTTGATTTTTTGTGGGTTTTGTTATTCTCAGATTTGGTTTGATTGATGCGTTCTCTTGAGGAATCTCCAGTCCAACTCTGTGGTCAGTCTCTGTCAGACGTTGACCATAAATCAGGCATCTTAGGAATTGTGGGAATTGAAGTCCATAACACCTGGATGTAGGGCCAAAGTTTGCCCAGGCCTGCCATAGATAGTCCTGGAGGACCTAGTACTTCTGTTGCCACCGGAACAGTTCTTTTTGCCAGAGTGTGATATGCAAGCATTAGCAAACAATGTTTATCTTCCTGCCTGTTAAGCAAATCCAAGTCCGTTCATGATCTCGTTTAAATAACTGTTGAAAGAACAATGAACACAAGTTTACTTTGAAACTTCATTCTTTGTTAATATGTTAATTCTCTGCAGCAATTCTGCTGTGCTCAAGAACCAGGCCTCCAGATCTAATGTCTAGTTCATCCAAATGTATTATTCGGGAAACAGCATGAGCAATTGGAGCTTGCCTTTTTGGATCTGATTGACTGGCACAACAAATAAAAAAGAATCAAATTTCCTGTGTCTATATATTCAGTCAGTTTCTTTACTCTTTGTCTTAACTTTTCTAATAGAGTTAAGTCCCATATTTTTGCATACTAGGAAGTGATGTTCTGTCAGTTTCCTGATTCCCAGTGTTATGATACTAACAGTCTTTGCAGAGCTTTCCAGACATTTATGCTGACACACTTTTTAGACCTGCATCATTTTGCACCCACTTTTTATGTGATATTCGAACCGTGCTTCTTATAAGTCAGAGCACGGTCCAGAGAAACTCCCAGGTATTTTGGTGTGCTGCAATGCTCCAATGAGATCCAAGATATCTTTGAGCAAAAAAGAGGGCAACCATCTGACATTCCACCATTCCTGTGACTCAAAGGAATGAGAGAGAGACTGGTTTCTAAAAACTAGCCATTTTAACCTGCTGGAACCGATTAACCAGCATTAAACAGCAAGGTGAAGAGAAAGCAAGTACTTGAATGCAGTCTGACCTCTTTTTAGCCCTGGCATTCTCAACGGTGACAAACTCCTGGCAGGTACTTTCCAGTTTTGCTTAGGCCTCGGCTAAGAGATGCAGGGAGAATGCAGGACCCCCGGCCAAGCCTTCTCCATTCACTTTTTGGCTCCTGAACTCCACAGTGGTCCTTTGGGCCAATGCCTGTAAATGGATCAAGCTGTATCAACAACTCCTCTTCCAGGATTGGTTAAAGATGGGGGCGGACTGTTGAGTTTTAATTGGATCGTTGTTTGCTAACACATCATACAGAATAGCCAGGTGCATAGAAACGAAAAGAAGCAGAGTTAAGAAAAGATACCTTGGACTTAAATAGCTGTGACAAGCTTCTAAGGAAGAACCAGCTACAAAGGTCCACCCAGACTGATCACTCAGGACTAAACAAGGAAGAGGAATTCATCCTGCTGTAACTATTTGCTTTGTTTCCAAACTGGGGGACTGAGACCTACAATATTTGATATTTAGAAGAGTCAACCCTTTATCGTAGTTCTTTTCTTTGATTTAAAAGCAAACCAAACTGAACGGAGATATTCTACTTAGGATCACATCTAACTATTAGGATACACGTTTGGACTCCACCTTTGGGTATACGTTGCATTGGATTTCATCTCTTTAGTAAAACTTCAATATAAAACTTTAACATTTTTAATACTGTAGTATCTGAAAGTCTTGAGCAGGTCTAAATACAATCCTTGAATTTTATTATCATCTCAACAAGACGTGTCTGAAAGACAGTCTGGGAGAACAGCACCAGCCAAGCAAATAATGTTTTTGTGAGGTGCTTTGAGCATTATTTTTTTCTGAAAAGTGATATATACCTTTAATAAATAAGCAGCAGAAAGAAAGCTCAGATTACGGACTATTGAAAGTGTCCTCAATTCTGCTAGAAAACATTTCTTCAGATACAGAATAAGGAATTCTTTTGTAATATATTCCCTGTGCTCAAAGGAGAGTTGTTGACTGCATCCAAATGTGTCATTTTTGTGAGGACAACATATTTCCTGCAATCTTAAGAGTTTGACAATATTAATTGGCTGGTTTGGACTGATTTTTTTTCATAGTCATTAGTACCTTCCTCTGGACATTGTAACATCCACAGTGTGTGAATCGCCAGAAACACCTGTTGCAACCAACTTTGGTTTACCTAAAACTATCTGCTGTTTGTGTTTGAGAAGAGTGTTGGGATGGATGAAGCTTGGGTTGCCTACTTGTGCCTGGTCTTGTTTGTCCTTGTCATTGTGCTGATGAAGCAGAAGCCGGATGATGACATCAAGAAGGAAAACGAGAAAGATCATCAGAGTACCCCAGCTTCGGTCTCCTACTCTGCCAGCAACGTGGGCAAACGCCTGGAATGCACCGAAGAAGAACTGGCGACTTCCCTGCAGCGGCTCACGGGCATCTTGTTCAGTGCAGATGTGCACAAAAGGGAATCACACTCTGAGCACAAAACCCCTCCCCAAAAGGTGAGCCAGAGCAATATTCTTGCACTTTGCAGGAAGGCTACAGCCTTCTCATATTTGTCTGAAGGACATCTTGTGTATACATACTTGCCTATGAGAACCTAAGCCTAGCTGGAGGTATAATTATAATTATAATTGCAAAGACTCTGGCACAAGCCAGTAGAGGTGGTCCCAGTGGTGATCGGTACCCTGGGTGCAGTGCCTAAAGACTTGGCCTGCACTTGAACACAATTGGCGCTGACAAAATTACCATCTGCCAGCTGCAGAAGGCCACCTTACTGGGATCTGCATGCATTATCCGCCAATACATCACACAGTCCTAGACACTTGGGAAGTGTCTGACATGTGATCCAATACAACAGCCAGCAGAGTGACCTTGTTTGCTGTGGACCCATCTTGTTGTGTTCCAAATAATAATAATGTTTATTGGAAACAATAAACATTGATAAAATCATGATCTGTCAACTGCAAAAGGCTACTTTACTTGGATCTGCGCTCATCATTCGAAAATAAATCACACAGTCCTAGACGCTTGGGAAGTGTTCAACTTGTGATTTTGTGATACAAAATCCAGCATATATCTCTCATTTGCTGTGACATACTGTGTTTTTGTGTCAGTAAAATAATAATACATTTATTACCCACCTCTCCTTGAATGAATATACATATCCATAGTTTCCTCACTAATTTTTACACATATGCCTTAATGATCCATGTCAGCAAAGCATTTTTTATTTGTCCTTTGTTATTAAAACTATATTTTGTACTGCTTTCATAGTGATGTTTATGTGCTTTTACATTTTTAAGTTAATTCTTTTTCTGTGACCTGAGTGAGAGACACATTGTCTCGGAAGAACATAGAAACGTATTCTAAATAAAGAGAATAAGAATACTTTGGTTTTGGTAGTGCCTCTTATAGGCTTATTAAATATGGTTTGCTGTGGGTGAGCAGATGGCAAATACTGGATGGCATAGGTTCTGTATCGGAAACTAGAGCTGATGTGGTCTATCCAGTGCAATTTTCCAAATCAGCACCCCAAATACCCAAATCAAATCTAAAGTTGACCAAAAACTGATTTGTAACCCTTTTGGTAATAATATTGGAGAGTGGTCCCTGCTCAAAGTGATCTCTGATCAAGTGGTCCTTGGTCAAAAAAAGATTGGGAACTACTGTTCTAAGAGATCTTAATCTGCCTTCTGTCCATCTTTGCTGTTTGAGTTCTCCAAAAATATTTCAGACTCAGCACATCATGGGATTTTTTTGGCCGTAACATTGTGCCATCCCTGAAATGAATATGTGATTTGAGATGTGTAGGAAATGAGCATTTTTAGTACCCTTAGTATCTGTTTCAGTCTGACATAGTAATACAACCAGTATCCATTTTGGGGGCATAGCAGATGAATCATGAGATCAGTCCGCATACTTGGTTCATACTTGGTCAAATTTTAATAACCACTATGTAACAAAAATTGAAAAAAAAATCTGTTCCTGGTTTGAAAGTGTTATTTCCTGTTTAATTGTGCAGTCCTTACTTTGAAAGTAGTTGCTCTACTCCAGAAACTTCTTTGTTTTTGTGGCTGCTACAAACTAGGTTGAATTGGTTGAGATTGCATGTGCTTCAATGCAGTTTATCTGCCTTCTGAAACTGCATTATATGGCAGTGTTGGTCCAGCCTTGGTTGCTTTGAGCAAACCTACTGTTCTGCGACAGCCTTTCCTCCCCTAGTCTTGAAGTTGGGATGATACCATAATCCTCATTATGCAGGAGAAACACTTTGAATGTGTTAGAAGCATGGTCTCCATGGTCCTTGTAGAACTTATTTAACAGCGAAGTGATGTGCCTTTCAACTGAGGGCATTTATGTTTAGCAAATGCTGCATTTCATGCCCAATATGATACAGCAGATATTTGTGCTATTTGTGCATAGATGGGTGGAGCTCAATGGACATTCTCCAGCTTTCAATTACTGTGTTGCTGGCTTGTTCCTATTTATTTCCCGGCAAGTCTTATGATGTTTTTCCCTAAACATTAATTCATTCTACATGATGCCACATTCTTTCAGTGGCAGGACAAATGAGGATGATGTTTCCAGAGATTGACCAGATCTTTGCCAGATAGTCATGCTGCCTATGAGACTCTGGGAACTGGATTTGAGGGCAGTGGCAGGGAGGACGGGGGATGACTTTTCTGAGCTTTAAACTTTGGGAATTGAAGTGAAATTGCTTCCTTTTCTTTTGTTTCCCATTTCTGATCAATACTTTCCT